GAACATAAGAAATAAATTTACCAAAAGACAAGTGAAGCCGATATTCCACTGTGTTCGCATTATAAATGCCAGATCACCCCTTTTTTTTTGTTTTGATAAAGAAAACTTATATCATAAAAGTCTTATTAATGATTTGTTGGTCTAATTGAAAGAAACTCAATTTTTTTAAATAAGATCTTAAGTTCGAATCTTGTGAATGGAAAAACAGACGTGGATAGAGTTTTCTCTTAATGGGATCTGACACGCCTCAATTTTAAATTAATCAAGATCTAATATGATCATCGGATAGCAAAAAATTAATTAAAAGAATAAAAAATAAAAACCTCAAAGTCTTGGTAGCAAACCCCTACATAGTCAGCAAAACGCAAAAGATCCACATCAGGTGGACAAATCATACCCCATGCCCCATACATGTTTGTTATTCACCACGAACACTTTTAACTTGTCAAAATCTTAGGGGATAGTTAATTCTATTATTAGTTTTATAAATGTAGCTTAAGAAGAAATGATGCGTGGAATATCAACCAAGGAATAACATACAGTTGACAATTTATTTATATAATTTTTTAATTATAAATTTAACATGTTAAGAAGTAAAATACCCAAATCCATCCCTTAAGTATAATGATAGGGACGGATCCACTCCGAACAAAAAAAAAGATAGATTCACATACAAAATTTTTAATTTAGACAAATCACACCAAATTTAACATGTAACGTCATCTGATATTAGCAATTTATTAATTTGACATCATCTGACATCAATAATCTGTTAACGAATTAACTGGTTACTGATGTTAAATGATGTCATACGTTAAATTTAGGGTAATTCATCATAATCGAAAACATTGTAAGTGAATTTGTTCCCCTTTTTTATTCGGGAGTGGATCTGTCCCTACCATTATATTTTGAGGGTGAATTTGAGTATTTTAACTTATTAATAAATAGTAGATACATACTCTTTCTACCTAAAATAATTTTTTTAATTTTTTTCAAATTAACTATTTATGGATAATATTTGTATTTATCTATAATATTTAAAAAAAAAAGATAAATAGAGATTTTTTGTAATTGAATAATTAATTAA